CTTAAAGTAAATATGTGTGTTAGTAGCCCCTTGTTATGGGAAAGGAGCAGAAATGTGTGAACAAGCTCAAGGTGGATCTTAGGTGAATGACAATGTGAAATAAGTTGTGCAGACAGAGCAACGTGCCACCATGCTTAGAAATATCCTGTGGAGTGACCTTAGATTACATTAGGCACTTTTGCTACAGAAGTAATATTATAAATTAGAAAATGATCAAAACAGATTCAGTATATTTTAGCATGGTGTATTAGCAAGCAGCTTTAAAAGCTTCTCATTCACCCCACTGAAACAGCTGCTTTTGTGAAACATATTACTTTCATTAGGGTACAGAAATGCCATTCTTCCTCCTTGTCATAGAGTGAAAGTTTGTATGATAGTAGCCAAAAACTCTAAAGGAGAAAAAATATTGAATTCAGGTGACCTTGCTGATGCTTTGCCAAATAATTACAATATATTTTGGCAGTGTGTTACAAGCAAACAAAATTAAGTTACTCAAATGACCAAGAAAGAACTCAAGACTATATAAATAACAAGTATGAAAGTTGAAAGCCAAAAGAACATAACTGAAGAACAGAGAAAGCACATTCACATGATAGCTTATACACATTCCACCCTTTCGGTCCACAGCATGAAAAGAAGTTACCAATGAAATATCTGTCTAGAAGAAATAACAGAGCAAGATCAGGTCAACATTGTAGACCTTCTTTCCAAAGTTATAATAGAATTATTAATAAAAGTTTTATTTTCATTTAGGCTTCAATTTGTGTCATATTGTATTCATTAAGTTCAAAATAAATATTGTGTCAAATTTTACAAATATTTACAATGACCTCTAAAAATTTCCAAAATGTGGAGTTTGGGAAGCAAACAAATCAGAGGAGCAGAGTTTGGATACCCAGAATGATGCCAAAAGTGCCAGGCACAGGGATATGCCCCTGTGATCTTAACTTCAGGGAGAGAGAGAGACAGGTAGATTCTTTAGCACTTGCTGGATGTCCCATCTATCTGAATCAAGGAAATCCAGATTAAAAATGCTTATCTCTAAAGATAACATATACATCACACCCATACCCCTGCAACGCAGGTTTCATTGAGGAAGATGGGCAAGGAGTTATACCTGGCCTTTCTTTTGCTTGCCAAAACTTATCTCTCAAATGTGTATCTTCATGTAGACTTCTTGTGGAGAATTCTAACACCCCATTTCCCTTTTAAAGTTTAGAAGATATCTCAGTTCTGCATACTTTCTTCTATTCAAATCTTAGCACTAAATAATTTGGCATTATAAAGTATTAAAATATTTAGTACTCCAGTATGTGATGCTTTCCAAGCAAAGGAGCGATACAATACCTGATAAAGGCTAGCTGTTCCTCATCATTGAGGTTTCTCAACATTGCACAAAATTCAGTTACCCAACTTCAGATTATATCATTTACAGCATCTTAACTAAAATGTAGAAATACATTTAAATGCTCTAGCTAAACAGCATGAAATGGAAGCACATATAGCAGAAGCTTATGAAAACAGAGCTGATTTGATAATTTAAGGTTGTTTGACACTTTCTGGTATAGGTGTTTGCTTCTTTTATTTGTGTATCTTAATTATTTTCTTTTGCTCTTACCCGCAAAAAGGTTTATAGTGCATCCCATTGTATAATTCAACCTTTTCCACAAAACTTCAATTGATAGATATTAGTCTATACCAGTTTTCTCACAGTACATAGAAGTTTACCTACAGTATACTGCTCCATTTTCACTGTTTGCATCACAGAACACTTAAGGCACCTGAAGGTGAGGCTGTTCTGATAATGTTTGCTTAATTTGCAGAGTCAGCAATAGCTTTTGGATGAATGGCCAAGCTAAATAAGCGTGTTATCACCAATTGATCATCATGAAAGAAACAGATCATTAAGCTTGTAATTTGCACAGCTAATAAAGGTCTGGAAATAATCCTGGAATGCTTCACCAATCTACTAATTTTGTGTCTAGCTCCCCAACACACAAACAGAAAACATGAAGTTAAATATTGTCAGAGATAAGCGTATGCCTCCAGTACGTTATTAAGTTCCATTAGAATCGAGGAGTGAAAATAATTGAATAATCAGTTTTATTTTCATAGTGTGAATATGAACCTGATGTTTCTTCTATGTGAATATAGTCATGACTCCATGTCAAATAAAGATGGCAGTGCAGACTGAAAAGGAGCCATCCTCACATGTTAAACAACACTGTCTAGTGCGGAGTTGATAGATGTCATTAGGAAAAAAAAAAAAACAGGTTTTATGTAATGAGATTAAGGGAACCACTTCATTGTAGATAATTTGTCTTTAGAAAAGCTCCAGTAATTTAAGTATATCCCTACACAAAAAGCACACTCAAGGATGCTTAGAAAACACTTTCTAACTGAAGGCTTGTCAGCTCAAATTCGATTTACTCTTAAATCAAAAGCATCGATACCAAGTTTTGTGATCTACTTACTGGAGATGCACAGTGGTAAGCAGAGTGTTAGAAACATATCATCCCTTATATCCTCCAACGTAGAGAAAGATGGTTGTCTCCACTTGTAGTTCTAGTCTCCCCAGTGACACTGGGAGAAAAAGCAAACAATGATGTCCTAGTCACTGTTTTATATCTGTGAAGACATACTATGACCAAGGCAACTTTCATAAAAGAAAATATTTAATTGGGGCCTTGCTTACAGTTTTAGAATGTTAGTCGAGGATCAGCATGGTGGGAAGCTGACCAACAGGGTGTTGAAGCAGTACCTGAGAACTTTACATTCTGATCTGCAGGAAGCAGTAGAGAGAAGCTGTGCCTGATACGAACTGTTGAAACCTCTAAGCCCTCTCCTGTTAACATACCTCCTCCAACAAGACCCCATCTTCTAATCCTTCCCAAAGAATTCTACTCTCTGGGGATTAAGCATTAAAATATTTGAGCCTGTGGGATTTATTATAATTCAAACCACCACAAATGAGTAGGGATAAATTTTGTGTTGAAATGTTCCATAATAAGAGTCAAAATATTAAGAAAAGTTATGTGGATAATCACAATCTCTGAACATTCATCACATTCTCTTGATAAAATGGGAGAATATTTTTCTTTCATGTTCCTAATATTCTATTAATCTGATTTGATAAATTTGGATAGAGGTTTGATAATATAGATTTTCTAAAATCATTTAAGTTGTTCTAACATTCTTTTTCTGTTGTTTCATTCCCTTACTAACTCTCTTGTTCCACATACCAGAGAAAAAAATAGCTAGTATCCATTCAGATATAAAACAAAGAAAACAGGGAGGGGGAAGAATGACATTCTCATTCTCTAAGAAGTCTTTTGACTCATTCTTCTCATACATTTTATTATTCCATATTCCTTTTAGGACCACTTCAAACAAAATGTTTTCCTTCAAACCATGGGTGAATATTCATTTTGGAAAATTGGCCATAATCACTTATCAGATTTGTATTTAGCAAATCAAACGTGGTAATTTAGTTGCAGTGTATCAAATCAGATAGTATATTTATCTTTCATTAACACAACGAGAATGCTATTAAATTGTATGTATGACTCAATAATCAACTATTCCTAACTCTCAGACAAATTATCTTCATTAACGTAAATCTTACTTGGAATCAAAATGAAGTCAAACTTACTTGTGGAATTTGCAGACCTGTCTTACAAGTGCTCTGATAATAATCAATGCCAACTTCCAAATATTATCTTAGTCACTAAGTCAGGACACATATTATTTTCTTAGAACTTTCATAATACATTACCAGGAACAGTGTATATACAAAACAGCTTGTTCCAGTACATCCACATATCTGGAAATAATATTTTCATTTAAGTTGTCAACAGTATAGGCTCTTTCTCAATGCCATAAAAGATCTCTTAATATTGTCATCTCAGTCATAGTTGATCACCGTCATTGTATATATGCCCTGTCTTTCAGTACACCATTATGATTTCAAGTTATCTTCACACATAAACTTCAGTATGTCCTGAACTCCAGATATTCTTCATTGTAAAAATATCAGAATGTAATCTATTATAGGAAGAACTCACTATAATTGGATTATATTACAGAAGTTCTAAACCAAGTAATCATGTATTAATTGGGTCCAACTTCAGGAGTTTAATTTACCCTTTGAGTTAGAAACAAAGCCTAAGGCCATGTTGCAGTCCTATGAAGGGCCAAGTTGGTTTCCATGGACTCTGCTGCCAGCTGAAACCATGCTGGTATCTGTGGGCCATGTTGTAATTGGGGTCCAAGTTAATGTGCATAGCCTGTGCAGCCACCAGGCAATGTTGATGTCTATGGCCTGTACTGCCAATGAGTCATGATGATGTCTTTGGTCCTTCTTCCAGCCAGAGGCTTCTGTGACTTCTCTCATCCCCCAACAAAAGAAAGCAGTCTAGACATGAAGCCATTGAAGAGAATCCTTAAAGTTTGTGATAGGGATCCTGAAGGGAAACTCTTCAGAATTTATGGTTTCTGGAAGGGTTGGGCATGGAGGTCTCAGTTTTCTTTAAGGGGCTGACCATTCAGAGTTTGACTATGCTACAATGAGTACATGGGCTACCTAATTTGGACTTGGTTTTTCTTTTTCTTTCATTTATTTTTATTTTTTTCTTCTTTTCCTTGGAGGAGATCACAAGTGGAGGTGGCCTTGGGAAGACAGAGAAATGAATGTGATCAAAATGCATTTTGCAAAACCAACAATCAATAAGGATATTCTATTGGAAACAAAATTTATCCTTTAAGGTAGAAACAAAATGTTATTTTACTGCCCTGCTTTGATTGCATCTATATATTATATATTTATTTACTTTGACTATAATTTTCCATAAATCAAATCAAATAAGATATTGCTAAATAGAAGTAATATATACTATATTGCAAACATTTTTTTTGTACCTTAGATTTTTATTACACAAATCCCAATAGATAACATACATATTATACAGAGTACTACAGATAAAACCATCATTCAAAATTATTGAATTAGTTGCATATTTTGAACTACGCTTGATGAAGACAAATATATTTTAGCAGTGATAAGGCAGCAAAGAGTTGGCTTAGGAACTCCCGGCTAGTCTATAATGTTGGCATGGTAATTAAAGATAGCTTTCGTGTTTTCCCCTCAGCAAGACCATGTGTGCTGATGCGATCTGTGGCTTGGCAGCAGTGGCTGGGCGCTGTCCCTTTAAGAGCTGGTCCGTGCACTGCTACGCAGAGGCCTTCTTACTCGTCTCATAGTTGATAAGCCGTCCTCCCTGAAGGAGCTGAGCTACTTCATTTATTACATGGCAGGCAAACAGAAGCCAGTTTCGAGGTTGTACCTTGTAGGCAAATCTCATGAATGTCAAAGAATAGCAACAGAGGGCAAAGGTCATCCGCCCACTGATAATCTCTGGAGACTTCTTCATGTCATTGATAGCAGCAATGGGGAGACCCCAGTTCGCAACTGGGTCCCAGAAGTGCATACTCATGAGATAGTGCCAGAAATCCTTGCTCCAGACATAGTCCGCCGCTTTGCGCACCAGCATCCCAGCCGTGGCCGTGCGGTTGGTTCGCGGTGCAGACGCTCTCCGGACAGATGACACTAGCGTCGACCCGGCAGCAGCCCTCGGCCTTCTCCGCAAACATTTTTAAGTCACTAAATAAAACCTAAATAGTTTAAAATATGTAAAAAATAGTGTAAAGTGCATCTTCAATGTCTTTTATCTTGTTATTTCTAAACACAGTCTATATAGAAAATAAATCAGTCTCCTCGTCTAGTTTCTTAGAAAAGCTGTGTAGTAGATGATCTCCACGACCTGCTGACACAGGAAAGTCAGGAACACACAGTACAGACACATTGTTTTCAAATATATGCCTGCTTCTTGATATAATTGACAAAGCAAAAGTAATAATGACTGACTTTTCCATTTCATATTTCCTATGTAAATTATTGAGGTGAAAAGTAAGTATGTATGGAAATTCAACAAATTAGGAGGTTATGCCTCCATCCCTTTTCTTTCAAACCACATAAAGAGTAGCATAGATTTGTCTCATGCAACCTTAATGTTGTTAAAGGAATATAGTACACATTATTTAGAAGTTTCTAAGATAATTGTTAGTGTCTCCATTCTAAAGCAGTGGTTCCATTGTGCAATATTACTCTGAAGGAGAATTTCAATCTTAGATTTGGTGGAAGAAAAACAATCTATTGCCTCTGCTTAAACTGGGTTTTCATAGTTATGATATGCAAGAGAAAAACGATTGTGATACATGTGAATTATTACAAAAATATTTAGTTCAGTATTCTAGTCACTCTATTGCTCTTTGTATTTATCTCATAGTTTTAATTTTTTTCTCTAGGAGCTATGATTCATAGGGGAATAGTTTCTATAAAGAATTTGAAAAGGGTGTTTATGTAAGATAATTAGAAAATTGCTAGATGGAAATTCACTGAACTTTAAAAAATTATGTTCTAATTGCCATTTCAGCATGAAAATCGCAAAACATCAGTTTGCAGGATCTGAGAAGGGGGCCTCAGAGAGCAGTAAGAGAAGATGAAAGGACTGAGCCCTGAGGAAGCCCTCTTCTATTCAATTGTAACTAAAAAGCAGTCCAAGGATTGGCCTAAGAAAAACACAAAACCCCTTGAAAATTCAACAAAAAATTTAAAAGGTAGATAATAATATTTGAAATATCATACATCAATTCCACTTTATTCTTAGAAACTCATTATTTTTAATGATACCAAGTTAAATTGAGCAAAAATGTCATGGTGACTATTAAGTTGCTAATCTTTAATGTATGTTTGTGAGATAATGAACCACATTTTCCCACTGTGTAACTACACCATGGGGACTGAGAAACACAGTTAGTTGTTGGTACAAAATATTTCAGGTCACTGGGATACCACTTAGGAAATTAGCCATCATTAAGCTAAATGATACTCTTGTGTTTAACATAAAGGTCAACATACCTTTCAAAAAAATGTTGGTTGCTAAGAGGGATTGCTCAAGTATAATCATATTATTTTCAGTGCAGTTGAGTAGATATTTGTATGTATTTTCTTCTGGTGTGGCAATTGAGAGAGTATTTTTGCTGCATATGAAGAGATGTTAACAATTTTTTAAATGACCCTTATTTGTTCTGCATAAAAAGTAGTTTATCTCTATTTTGTAAAGGATAAATATTTGGATAATTTTATACAAAGGATCATAATTAATCAATAAAGTTCTTTACTTTATTTATTGGAACATAAAATAATTGATTCTATATAATTGTAGTACATAATGAAAATATACTTTAACATTTACAAAAAGGCATCAAGCAATATTATGTTACATCTGTTATAATGAGAATATTGATTTTGGGCTGAAGTCACTGAATATTTCAATATGATTTGCAGTGTATGTATATCTAATAATTACTTGGATATTAATATGTGTCATACAGTACCAAAATTTAATGATTATTCCTTCCAATCACTCTATGACTTTTAAAGTTATATATAAATGTATTTGGTCATATGAGAATAGATAATACAATATTAATGTGCCATTGAAAGAATGAATAAAAGACTTAAATATGTAGATTTACCAAGAAAATTAAGTTCTGGCTTCCATGGCCAGGTATGTCCTATATTTAGTACATTGTACTACATAGAAGTAGCTAGTCCAGTTTTAAGAATTCACTAGTCACAAACTTTTATGGTGCTTTGGAAATTGGTAAAATGAAACTCACTTATATAATGAACTTATTCTCCCTTCATACCAAAGTTCCCTACAATAGCAGTTGAACCCATCATCAGTGATACATGGATGACTTACTATAGTGGGGACGATGTTCTTCCCGTAATTTGAGGAAAACAGCCAGAAACACAGGTGTGGCTCTACTACAGAAGGATGGCTCCTGAAATGAATGTTTACTACCAGAAATATTCCTCATCCATAGCAAACATGTGAAAATGCTCCCAGAGAGGCAAATGGAGACACAGAATTCCCTGGCTAGGGATATATCTGTCATCAGATGAAATCAAGAATAATTCAGACTGAATGGTTTCAAATGGTACCATTATTAACCAGAAGATCAGAATGAATCCACAAGTTTTACCAATAAAATGTGTTACTAGAACCAGATGACCAAAAGTATTCCATGACATACTTAATATCCTTAACTAATGCATGCTAAAAAAGAAGTAAATATAAAGGCTTTAGGGTAGCATGATGGCACAATCAGTAGGGACATTAACTTCCTGAAGTTCAATCCTGCAAATTAAACAGGCTTCCACAAGTTGTTTTCTGACTTTCACATGCTGCATGCACACACACACACACACACACACACACACACACACACACACAAAAAAAAAAATGATAAGTAAATGAATAAATAAATAAATATTTTTAATATAATCTTTATACCCTGTAAGAAATGAGCTCTGAAGTCAGAAGAAGAAGTGAGTGACCAGCTTTCCTGATTAAACTGCCACACCTCCTAGTTTCTGATCTCAAAGACCCACTCTACTCCCCACACACTCCTGCCTCATTACCCTCCCGGAGGCTAGCTAAAAACTTTGAGTCTTTGAAGAAGATGACAGAAATTGGAAAGATCTCCAATGCTCATGGATTGGTGTTATTAACATAGTAAAAATGGCCATTCTCCCAGAAGCAGTCTGCAGAGATTCAATGCAATGCCCATCAAAATACCAATGCATTTCTTTACAGACTTTTAAAGGATAATGTTTAACTTCATATGGAAAAAAAAAAAACAAGATAGCTAAAAAAATATCCTGTACAATAAAATAACTTCCAGATATACCACAGGCCCTGATTTCAGCTGTATGACAGAGCTGTAGAAATACAAACTGCATGGCATGGACATAAAAACAGATAGGTGGATCAATGGAATCAGACCCAAAAGACCCAGACATAAGTCCACACCTATGGACATGTGATTTTCAATAAAGAAATCAAAATTATTCAAAGAAAAAAATAAGCATCTTCAACAAATGGAGCTGGTATAGCTTGATGTCTGCATGCAAAAGAATGCAAATAGATCTACACCTATCACCCTGCAAATAACTCAAGTTCAAGTGGATCCTTTGATAAGGTAAATCCTTAACATAATCCAGTTACACTGAACCAGACAGAATAGAAAATGGTGACTAGTCTTTCATGCACTGGCACAGGGGGCAGCTTCCTGAACAGAACTCCCAATAGTGCAGGCATTAAGATCAACATTTAATAAATGGGACCTCATGAAACTGAAATTTTCTGTAAGGCAAAGGACACCACCAATACAATAAAAAGGGCAGCACACATAATGGGAAATTATTTTCACCAACTCCACATCTGACAGAGGGATAATATCCAAAATATATAAAGGACTCAGAAAAGTAGACGTTAAATATTCAAATAATCTAATTCAAAAATGGGGTACAGATCTAAACAGAGAATTCTCAACAGTTGCAACTCTAATGGATGAAAAACACTTAAAGAAAATTTTAACATCTTTGCCATCAGGGAAATGTAGATCTAAATCACTCTGAGATTCTGTCTTACACATGTCAGAACGGTAAAGATTAAAAACACACATGACAGTTAATGCTGGTAAGAATGTGGAGCAAGGAGAACACTCCTCCATTGCTGGTGGGAGTACAAACTTGAGCAGCCATGTTGAAAATCAATACCGAGGTTTCTCAGAGAGCTGGTTAGTCAGTCTACATCAAGACCCAGACATACCACTCCTAGGCATATACCCAAAGGATATTCCATCCAGTCATAAGGACACTTGTTCAACTATGTTCACAGCAGATTTATTCATCATAGAGAGAAACTGGAAACAACCTAGCTATCCCTGAACCAAAGAATGGATAAAGAACATGTGGTACATTTGCACAATGGAGCTATACTCAGCGGTTAAAAACAATTATATCGTGAAATTTTCAGGCAAATGGATGGAACAAGAAAAAAATAATCCTGAGTGAGGCAACCCAGATTCAGAAAGACAATCATGGAATATACTCACTTATAAGGGAATATTCACTATGAAGTAAAAGTTATTCATGCTGTGGTCCACAGAACCAGGGAGACTTAGTGACATGGAGAGTTTAAGGGGCGAATGCAAAGATCTCTCTGGCGAGGGAAAATAGAATAGATTTCACTGGTAGATTGGAGGCAGGTTGGGTTGGGAACAGAAGAGATCAAGTTGGTTAGGGAGAAAATACTGAACGAAGCTACTGGAATTGGGGAAAATTTGGGGGTGAGATGGAAACGTGGTGGAACGGAAACTCTATGAAATGTACAAGAGTAACCCTAGCAATGGTAGACGGGGAGCCATAATCAGCCATCTTCTGTAACTGGGCAAGGCTTCAAGTGGAGGGATTGGGATACCAGCCCAGTCACAAAACCTTAGATCTACAATCTGCCCTACCTACAGTGTGCTCTAGAACAGTAACCTAGCAGAATCCTCACCAAAGAGACCTAAGGGACTTCATTCAGTAATTGATGGGAGCAGACACAGAGTCTTACACTTAACCATTGGGTGGAGCTCAGGGAGTTGTGCA